CACCACACACCAGGTCCCTGCCACCTCAGTGCTTCTGCTTCTTGATCCAAAGTTGTATCTTAATAATTACAGAATCATAGAATCATTATGGTTGGAAAAACCCTAAAAAGTCATTGAGACCAATGATAAATCCAGCACTACTAAGCCCACCACTAAATTACATCCCCTAGCACCACATCTATATGTGTTTTGAACACTTGCAGGGACAACAACTCCAGTACTTCACTGGGCAGCCTGTTCCAATGTCTGACCACCCTTCTCATGAAGAAATTTTTCCTGATATCTAACTTAAACCTCCTCTAGCAGAGCACAAAATCCCATTGCAGTGACTGATCTGGCTGATAGCTTTGGACTGGCTGTCCTTCTGTGGTCAAAACACAAACTCAGGCAGCCAGGTGGAGCAACCAAGTATCTGTTCCCATGCGTGGGACTGATGCTCTCCTCCTTGCCATCATCAAAACCCTCAGCAGTGAAAGCAATGAGGGGTCTCTTAGAATCTGGCCACTAAAAGATGGATTTACACAGGTAACCCTCCACCTCTGCCACAGGCAACAGTGGACAAAAGACCCTCTGCTGGGGTTGTTTTTCCAGATAACCCAGCATTTGGAATTTTTGCTCCTGGGCCAAGTGACACACTTGACCTCAGAGGGAAAAGTCACCTAAAAACCCCCAGGTGCCTTTGGAGCATTTTACTCTCAAAGAGGTCAACTCATCCAGCACAGATTTTGCAGCATGACTGCACAGTGCTTAGTGGAAACTCCTCACTGCAGTTCACATGTGGTGTCTCTGAGATTTTATCTACACAACCAAAGCCACTTTGTTGAGCAAATGGAAATGTGAGCTGCAGTCTTGCAAAACCATGGCACACAGGTCTGAACATAAAGGCTTTTCCTCCCTGAACTGGGGCTTTCCTAGAGAAACCATGGTTTCCATTGAATGACACACTTTTTTTTGACAAGTGATAATCTCTTCCTGTGGTGTGGAAGAAAATGACTTGGACAGGTTGGTTGGATTTAGCTTCTTTCCACGTTTATGAGATTGGAATATCCCACACAACACAGATGACAGAAAACCCCCCTGTGTGGCTAACTAATTTGGGGGTTGTGGGGAATCACCATGGGGTCTTGCCAAAACCGTGCTGTGGACTCAGCCCAGGACTAGAAGGGGCTGGATTTTCAGCCATGCTTTTCTGAATTATCTGCTATACACTGTAGCTGGAGCAGCTACATCACTGCTTGCAAAAGCCCAAGCAGAGAGTAAAGGGTGCTGAAGCGTGGCTGCAGCAGGGAGCTGGGGACCAGCTCACAGGTGCTGAACTACCCCTGTGGCTTTGACACAATTTCCTGACTAAAATTCCCCACTCATCCCAGTGTCTTACTTTCTCACCACCAGGTACCATGTTTTCCATAGCGCAGTCTCCAGCAGGATGGTAAAATATTTATAATTTTACCTATATACAGAGTGTAGGAAGAAGCAGAATGAGGCAAAGCCCCTGGTCTGCTTCCTCACCCACCTTCCCGCCTCAGGTCACCGTGGAGGCTCTGTGACAATGTTTATGGTGCAAGGAGGCTTTGACACAGCAAATGTTTTATCATCAGTAAGTGCTGGTGGCACTCTACAATAAATCCAAGCCCAGCAAAACATTTCCCTGTATCATGCTGTACGGAATCATCGCTCAGTTCCTTGAAGTCTCCAAAAAGGAGATTGGCAAAAACTCTGAATCAGCATATCTGGGAAGAAAAGCTCCTGGAGAGCCAATCATGGCTCACAGCAAAATGCAGGAGAGTGTGGAAAGAAGTGTGAGGGTCCCTGCTGGGGATGAATGGATTTTACATGTATGTTTCAAGCATACTTGTATATATTTTTTATAGCCACATGCTGTCTGATACACCTTTCTCCACTCTATTGGAGTGGTTTCACAGGGTAAGAGGGTATCTGGGTTCCTGAGCTCTGTAAACTCTCCTGCTCAGTGGGCGAAGAGGTGAGAGGATGAAGCAGTTTGGACCACCAGTACCTTCTTCAGAGGGGATGAGACCGGTGAGCTGCAGGAGTGGCAGTCTGCACATTCCCTCCTCCGAGCTGTCCCTGCTCCTGGCACCCACAGCCCTGAGGGGACAACAGCAGGGACAGATGGGTCCCCAGTGCCAAGGACATGCAGGGCTTTGGCTTCGCACAGTAGCACAGGAGACAGAAATAGCAGTGAAGGAAAAAACCTCATTACTTCTATTGGCCCATCCCCAAAGAACGTATGCAGAGCACTTAAAAATAAAATAATAAATTAACAGATGCTTTTCTTTCATGCTGATTTCTGATCAGAAAGGGGGTGATTAGGTTATTTTATTTGGGTCTATATGAAGAAATAATGTAGCAAAGTTAAGAACAAAGCCATGGGAAAAGAGCTGCCCTGGATGCCTGTGAGCCCATCAAAAGATAACTGCCTGCCTCACCATCTCTTTCCATCTCACCAGACTTGCCTCCAGTTACCTTTAAGATAATCCAGGTGCTGATTGCAACTGTGCAGTGATGAAGGAAGAACAAGGTATTTCTCTCAAAGTGCTCTCAGAAATGGACTCACGATTAAACATTTAAACCCTCTGGTGCTCCACAGTGTTTGGTGACATCAAAAGGGCAATTATAGCCTTACTGATGTAATGTTATATTTCTTTGTTTCTGGCTCACTCCCAAGTCAGCTTTCCTATTTCTGAGGGTATTCAGTTCATTCAGTTTACCATCTGTCTTCAAAGCTTCTCTTCTATTTTTATTACTTGAATGTAATTGTAATATTCATAGTTCTATTGTGGGGACAAGAATCAAATAAATGTCCAGATTAGTCAGGAGCAGCAGAGAAAAATTGCTGTGTCCTATCTTTTCCTGTGAGGTAGCAGGGAAATCCAAATATATCTAATCTTTCCTTTGGATAGTATCTACCAAATGTTCAAATGGAGCAGTAATAGAGGGATGGAGAATATAAGCAACTAAATATACTTCAACCAGCATCATGAGCTTTGCCTCCAGTGCAGCACCTGGCAATCCACAGGCTGGGCTGAGCAGCCTTGGGCATCTCCTCTGTACACAAAGCATCACCAAGGACTCCTGTGCCACAGCAGGAGAGCCAGGATCAGGAGTGGGATTGTACAAGTCTATTGTAACCTCAGATGAACCTCCCAGCCCTTTGCAAACAAGCACTGAGAAATGTTTGGAGATGCACTTGCTGCTGGTGGGAAGGGACACTGATGGCAGATTTCCCTTCTTGTGCCTCCACATGAAGGCAAGTGCCTTGCCTGGCCTCCAGCTGCTGCCAGGAGGCAAGAGAACAAAGACTGCTTTTCTGTAAGGCAGGACTGACAGGGCATGCAAGAGGCTCATGGCTGCAGCCACACAAAAGAGAAGAGCAGAGGGGTAAAAGTAGGAAATCCCAGAGATTCAAAGGGTAAGGTGAACTTTCGGACAATTTCAACCAAACCAGCAACATTCAAATCCCTAAGGGAATTTGCCATTAGGTTTGTGCTTTGTTTAGTATAGCACTCTCTGCTTCCATCAGACCATCTAAGACTTCACAGTAGGAAGTAACTGGCTTTGTCTTTCACTGACTTCTACCATTATTTCATTGAGATGAACATTATAGACCTGTTCTCAACTTGTTAAAACTTTTCTAATGGCATCAGAAATTAATTTGAATTAAATAATAATGCTTCACTGGGCTGTAACAGCCAAGGAGCCCCTTGTTCAGTAAATCAGCACAGCCACGGTGACTCCTTTGCAATATGACTGATGGGCTGGGGCCACCAGAAAGCCAAAACCAGACACGAGAGCAACAGCTGCTGCCAGGTCAGGCAGAACCATTGGCTCTCTGGTGGGATCCATCCCCCAGAGATCACCTGTGGTAGCATCCAGCTCAGTGCCACTGCGAGAGGCAATAACAGCACACCTCTCTTCTGAGGGCACCTATTCTGTAGCCAGAAATGTTGGGCTAAAGTCATGTCCATGCTAAAATAAAGAGAGCACAGCATTAAATGAGGCCCCAGACACACACTTTGGGATAGCCAGATGCACAAGAGATAGGAGCTGGGACACAGCAGAAACACTGAGATGTGAAGCATAGAAATCAATACCTCAGGGCGGATGTGGAGGACTGAGGGTAGGAGCTTACACAGGAGACCTGTTCCCAGTGGGTCCTGTTCTCCTGCTGTTATCATAAACAAGCCTGGTGCAACCAGTAATGTGACTCAGGGCAGTCCCTGGGGCCTTGGGGCCCAAAATAGAGTAACAAACATTTGCCCACAGCTTCCCAGCCAAGTTGTCCTTTCTGTTTCACCCATGTAATTCCCTCTGGGCCATATTTCACAGCATAAGTTTTGCTACAGTTCTAAAGCAGCTGATTTAAGCTGCTGATATAAGCAGCTGTAAGGCCACTGCCTTTAACGAGAGCCACCAGGATATTTTCAGAGGCAAATTCAGGCTAGCAATTTTATGCTCCCTTTTTTCAGTGTGCAACATCCTTTTTCATAATCAAAAATAGTAAGTAGACATGAACATAAATAATTACAATCTTTTCCATTATCAACATTCCCCTCAGAACATCTGCTTAATGATGCTAAGATGTTGTCTTTTAAAATAATTTTCCCCTTTGTACTTCTTCTCCGTGGAAGTCTGCCTGTCTAGAGGGAAGCTCTTTGATACATAAAGGGGAAAATAGCACAGACATTGAACATTACCTTTCTTTAGAAAAGACACTTCACCCAGATTCAAAGGACTCAATTTCAAATCAGCACAGCAGATCAATTCAAGATGAACCTTTAAATACCTTACAGAAATCCTCCTGTTTCAGACTTGCAAGAATTTCCTAATGCAGACCCACTTGGAATCGTCACTGCCTGCCCACAAAACAATGGGATCCAGCATCACCCTCTGCCCATCAGCTCTCAACACACACATACCCCTCCAAACGCGCCGCCCTATTTCACATGCCCACTACAGACAAAGTGCCCCAACAAATTTACCGGAGACGGGCCGGTGGAACCAACCAGCAGGAGTGTTTGAGCGATATTATGTAATGCATCCCGCCGAGCTCTGCACCACTGCCGTAGCGGCTCATGGTGCCGAGGATCATGCCATCCCCGTGCTCCCGCCTGCCTCCTCCCTTTGCAGAGCCTGGAATACCCTTTATCCCGGAGCAGGGACGGCCGTGGGGAGCCAGACCGCGGGCCCAGGGCCGCTCCGGAGGGTTCGGGCCGGTACCACCCTGCCGAGGCGGGGAGTGGGTCCCCACCCGCTGCGGAGAAAGAAAGGAGCCGGGAAGCCGGGAGAGGGGCGGGGAGAGGGACAAACCCGGCTGGCGAGGCGGGTCGGGGAGCACTCACCCAGCAGCAGCCAGCCCGAGCCCGCGGAGCCCAGGAGCGGGGCGAGCATCCCTGCGGCGCGGCCCCGCGCCCGCTCCGCGCACTGCGGCGCGCACTGCGCACCCCCGGCCGCCCCGCCGCTCTGCCCGCCGCTCCCCCGGCGGAGGCGGTGTTTGCAGCAGCCCTCCTCCTCTCGCCATCCATCCGAGCCCTCCACAGCTCTCCTAAAAGGGGCTACGCTGCCGGCGGTGCGCGGATGCTCGTCGGAACATCCCTGCACCCTCGGATCCGTGAGCGGCGGCGGGGGAGAAACTTACTCCTTTATAGCTTTATGTTCACATTTGGCCGAGGAAGTTGCAGCTGGCCGGTGACCTGGACAACAGCGGTACTAAAGATGATCAGACATGCCGAAACGCAGCCAGCTTCATCGGCAGAGACAGCTCGGCATTGTCTCTAGACATCTCATCATCCTACAGCTTGTGGCTACTTAAAAAAAAATAATACACAGTCTGTGTGTGATACTAAATACATGTAGAGAGGAGAGAAGAGCAGGTTTGTGCTCTCGACTGTTCCCTGAACAAGCTAGCTGTAAAAAACCTCATGTCCCAGCTCCATGGTACATGAAGGGCTTTGCAGAAGAAGGTGTTAAAAGGGCTGCACCAGCGGCGAGAACACGTCTTGCATCCCTCTGGGGATCAGAGTGCCAGTGGAGTAAACAGGGTGGGAGTGCCAAAGGGTAGAAGAGACGCTGTCATTTTATTCAGCCCTTTGAGTCTCTAACATGGCAGGTCTGCACAGTAGGCAGAACTGCTTCTTCCAAGCTGTGATATGCAGTTGTTTAACTCTTTGGGAGCACAGGCCAAGATACACCAATAAAATTCCCTGCTTGTACCAGGAATTAGCACTAGTTCAGGTATGATTACAGTTGTGAAGGGCACACATTTCCTTTGCTTGTGGTTTTCCCAAAGGTGAAAATTAAACATATGAAAATGAAGAATTTCTATTCCATGACAAAAAAAGAATTTTCACCATGTGGTTTCCTTCTGATTCAATATGTGAAGGATCTAAAAAACTTCCTGTGTACAGAAGCCCAGCAGCTGATTAAAACTGATGTAATTTATATTAGAGCCATCACTGCCCACTCCTGAAAGCTGTTATGAAATTGCCATGTCCCTTTTAGTCAAGGGCTCTTTGTCTTTCAAGACTCACAGTCTCAAGGCAGAAAACCATCATCAAGCATTCTAACAAGTGAGCTGGAAACCAAAGAGAACTGTACCTGCTTCCTCAGACTGCAATTCTTATAGTAAATGCCTCTAAAGCAATTGGGATTTCAGCGACACCTTCAAGTGCCATCAAATCAAATATAACAGGTATAAAACAGGACTTGGCAAAATCATTTCTACTGTCATCTGTTTTGTTTGAGAGTGAGATAGATTATAGATTGAATATTGCACAATCTAATTCACTTAAGAACGTTTGTAGCCTATTCCTACAGCCTTCTCTTTCTTGAGAAGGAGAAACAGTTTCTACGCCAATTTTTACCTGCTTCTCTGGCAATTTTTGTGCTGCAAGGCTGTTAACATGTCTCATCTTCTGTAGGCTACCTGGTTCCTACAGTTCCTGTGTCTAAGCAAGCCCAGACTTCTCCTTGAACCCCCAGTGGCATTAAGTGAGCCTTGCTTCTGGACTCCTGAAATCTGTTAGCTGGAAATCGCAATATTGAAGCTAACTGATACAACAAAACAAATTGTCCTAGAAATATTCAAGGTGGGACAGAGCTCTGAACAACAGGATCCAGTTGAAGATGTCCCTGCTCACAGCAGAGGAGTTGTACTAGATGACCTTTAAAGGTCCCTTCCAACCCAAAATATTCTATAATTCAGGATGTCTTGATCTTTGAGGAGATAAGTATTTTAAAATAATACTTCCTTAGGGAAGTTAAGGGATCAGAGGAAACTGGCTGAAGAGTACCAGCTCCCAAAACTTCACTAAGATTGATGCAAACAGATCTGTGCATGCAGTTGCACAATGAGTCCTGGAAAGACCTTTTGTTTATCTACCATGGGAGTGGAGATCATTGGCATGACAAATCCCACCTGTACCTCCATGACCTTGCTTTGGGGAGCCGCCAGGTGTCTGCCTATGCTCTGCAAAGCAGAGCTTTCCCGACCTCAGCATCTCCTGCAACAGCTCCTCCAAGCCCTACACAGATTAAAAAAAAGACAAGTGACTTCCTGTGTTTCACCACAAACTTCCTGCCTCTTTGCAGAGTTCTCATAAGCCTCTCTCAAGTTCTTGACTTTAAAACCTTTGCTAGCTTTCCACTTCTCTGTATCTACAGTCCAAGGCAAACTTGGCTAAACTGATTATCAAAAGGCCCACCTACAGTTTTCTGAAATTGTCCACACCTCAACAGCAGTTTAAGTGCTCTCACTTACTGGTACAACAGTAATGGATGTTCTGTCTTTGGAGGTGTCACAGTGACAGACACCTGTCAAAATGATGCTGAAATTTTCCGTGCTGGGAAACCACCCAGAATCTTATGATTCACGGAAGTGCCCGAAATCACTACTACACCGGAGCTATCTCTCCTGCAGGGGACCTTCAGCCACCAAGATATTAAAGCCACCACCAGCATGACCTTCCTAATTGTCAGAGCAGATAGCAACATCAAGAAAAAAACTGGTCAAGGAATCTGAGCTTACACCTCTCTGAAGTACGTTAAGTTTTCCAATCCACCCAGAAGCTGTTACTACCAGAACTCTCATCTCTTCTGTTTGCATCACATCCGAGCTTGGGTTATAGAGAACATGCCTCTATCACCTCCCCATGAATGTAAAACAGTTCTTTCTTTCTCTTACAATTAGACACAACATTAGCCTAGCTGGGAAGAAATCAGTTTATTTCTTGTTTGAATATATTTATGTGTCTATTCAGTAGTCCAATATATTCTGCTTGACCCGAGAAACACTAATATAAAAAACCTTCAGAAGTATTCCATTCTGTTAAATATTTTAAAAAGTATATGAAGTATAGTTCAAGCTGGGATTTACATGATTTTTATTTCAATTTTTTCAGTCTGTCCTCACGCCCAACCAGCTGGTAAATAGTTACTATGGCAGCACCTAATGCAGAGTGACTCAGCACTCCCTCACATTCCAGTAGCACTGCCTACCATTCTGGTTTCTTACAATTATAACCTTGTCTTCTCCTTAATGTTTCATTGCAAAATTATGCTGTTTAAAATATCATTATTTTCTTATGAAATTTAGCATTTATTGGTGGAATCAATGCAAAAATCTGCTAAATATTCAGGATGCTATTTCAGCTTTCCTTTTGTGTTGATCACAAAGATGTTTGAATTTTTTCCATAATTTCTCAGCGTTTCTTTGGAGCTTTATATTGCCAAGTGAGCTTGCCTCATATCAAACCACAACACACCAGCTCCAAAATATCCCTGTCTCACTGTGAGCAGAAGCTCCCCTTCCCTTTGTTAATGTAGAAAGCTCCTTGCTTTCTGTTCCTGTGGGGTTTTTTTTATTTACCTTGCTTTGAAGGTTGCATTTACACCTTGAGCCTTCTCTGTTATCCTTTATTTGGATTTCAGTTCAACCCCGAGGTGACTAACCAACCTGTCACCATTGTTACCAAAACTCTTTGAGAGTGACCATTAGCCTATTCTTTATGTACTACAGTCTAAGAGCATGAAAAGTCCACAAGTCATCAATTGGTAAGTCATCAATTTAGAAGATTTTTTTTTTATAACAGTGAAACTTGCGAAGTCTGTGGTTTCCCATCTCGTGGTTGGATTTCCCCAGAACTAGAAGGGTGTGAACTCTCCCATCATGGAGCTTTCTGTTACTGAAATAGTTGTTTTACTGTATTATGACATTCTGGAAGAAAGTGACTTTAAAGCTGCTGGCTGCGGATCTCAGCTGAGTTAGTTTCGCAACTTTAATTTTCTAAAATTGAAGCTGACAGATTTATGACAATTAATACAGCAAATATATGTGGAGAGAGTTAAGGTGCTTTTTCAGTACACTTTATGAACATTAAGATAGTTATTTTAGATCTGGAATGCAAAACATGGTTGAGGAAGAATAATTATTCTCTCTAGCCCTGCAGGCATCTTTCCCTCTTTTCTCAGCTATTCCAAGCCCTCCCAACCCTGACACCACACAGGAAACTCGAGGCCCTTCCCACCAGATGTTGCCACCGGTGTTTCCCAGCCGGCCCCTGCTCGGGTGTTTGCAAAAAACATAAATGAGGAGATGCTGGCTGGGGCACCGCTGGTCCCCGGGGACTCGGGCGGTACCTCCAGCACCACGGACAGCGGCAGCTCAGTCATTATTCGTTAACAAACCCGTTCTTTGCCCCGTTAAATCACTGCTGTGTTCCACGTTATTCCCAACATCACAGATAGTGTGGCAGCAGCTCTCTGGCTACAGACAGCAACAGGCACAACTTTCCCAGGCATTGTCCTGGGAAAGCCTGTGGGAAGATCAGAGAAAAGAATGAGAAACAATTCTTATCTTCACTTGCTGCACCTGTTGTTGTGAATATGTGGAATGTGTTACGGAGATTTGTTTTAAAGGGTGATTTCTTAATTAGCCAGTGGTGATGGTGTTTGGATTCAAGGCCCATTTGGGTCCATCTGTATTGTGACTTTAAGAGTGATGGGTTTTTATAATTAGTATAATAAAGTGATTGATCAGCCTTCTGAAATCATGGAGTCAATGCTAATTATTACCCAGTGGGAGCCTGTGGTGACAAGATAGCAACAATGATTAATGTGTTACCCTGGAAGTTGCAGTTGCTCCTTTCTTGTCTTCTGCTTCATCACCAGCCTCCTCTTCTGCCGTTTCACTTTTTCCTACCTGTGAAAGAGAAGACATTTAAGTCCATTCTGCA